AAGAATTCCATGGACTGTATAGTCCATGGTGTCACAAAGAGTCAGACACAACTGAATGACTTTCACTTTCACTTTTTTTCAGATAAATATGATGTTTTCACCACGGCCCAAGAGTCATAGATGATTCTGACATTTTGGGCCAAACAGTGAGAGACTCAGAGGCCTTAATATGACTGCTGTGTGATAAACACACCATTTTCTTATCAAGAAAATGAATGACCAAGTTTTAGGGATGGCAAGAGGTTATGAATATAACTAGAGAGTTCTTGAATTCTTGATAATTCAGTTATTCCTGTCAAATATCAAATAAATGCCAATAGTTCTGATTACAAATGACTACAAAAAGGTAGCTGATATTAATCTTGGTAAATATTAATTGACCTTCACTTTGTCAACAAAGGCCTGTCTAATCAAAGCTATGGTTTTTCCAGCAGTCACATATGGATGTGAGAGTTGGACTATAAAGAAAGTTGAGCACTGAAGAATTGATTCTTTTGAATTGTGGTGTTGGAGAAGACTCTTGAGAGTCTCTTGGACTGCAAGGAGATCCAACTAGTCCATTCTAAAGGAGATCAGTCCTGAGTGTTCATTGGAAGGACTGATGCTGAAGTTGAAACTCCAATACTTTGGCTACCTCATGCAAAGGGCTGACCCATTGGAAAAGACCCTGATGCTGGGAAAGATTGAGGGCAGGAGGAGAAGGGGACGACAGAGGATGAGATGGTTGGATGGCATCACCAACTCAATGGACATGGATTTGGGTAAACTCTGGGAGTTAGTGGTGGACAGGGAGGCCTGGAGTTCTGCAGTCCATGGGGTCACAAAGAGTCAGACACAATGGAGTGACTGAACTGAACTGAACAGAACTGAACTTGCCTATGAAAGGAGCATATGCTTTCCTTCCCAGTAAGTTTGGATTTGGTCATGATATCTTCAGCCAATTAAATGTGAGTAGAAGTGATAACACAGCAATGACACTGTAAGAGACACTGCATTTTACAGTGGCACTCTTCTTCTTTATTGTGTCTAACTTGAGAATGAACATGTACCCCAAAGGGGCAGCTTTGTCAGCTTGGGTCACAGAATAAAAAGTCAAGTATCAGAGTCTCAGCCTGTCTAAAACCTGGAGAAGTGTGGCAGTCCAAAAGTAACATGAACAAGGACTCAGTTCAATTCAGCCGCTCAGTCATGTCCAATTCTTTGCGACCCCATGAATCACAGCAGGCCAGGCCTCCCTGTCCATCACCAACTCCCAGAGTTTACCCAAAGTCATGTCCATCCAGTTGGTGATGCCATCCAGCCATCTCATCTTCTGTTTACCCCTTCTTCTCCTGCCCCTAATCCCTCCCAACATCAGGCTCTTTTCCAATGAGTTATCTCTTCACATGAGGTGGCCGAAGTACTAGAGTTTCAGCTTCAGCATCAGTCTTTCCAATGAACTAGCCCTACATTATTATTAAGTAATGAGAGATTTCAAATTGCTTGGTGTCTTAATAAAGCTTGCTAACATAATTGCTTCTTGTAGACCTTTTCTTGAAAGAGCTGCTAAGTTGAAGACTGGCTTGAAATTCTTCCTATGAATAGTTGTTCTAAAATATGTACAATAAATCTTTCCCTTTATGGATAACTTTGGTCTTAATATTTAGAGATTTGGGCAAAAGTACTCAATAAATCCCTGGTGGCTCAGTCAGTAAAGAATCTGCCTGCAGTGCAGGAGATCTGGCTTCAATCCCTCTGTCGGGAAGATCCCCTGGAGAAGGAAATAGCAACCCATTCTGGTATTCTTGCCTGGAAAATCCCATGGACAGAGGAGCCTGGTGGGCTACAGTCCATGGGGTCACAAGAATCGGACATGACTGAGCAAGTAAACCACCACTAGGTAATTCAGTTGAAATTAACGTTCAGTGGTTTCATGAGTTGATAGAAATGAAAAAAATAACATTTTCATTGATAAGAAGAAGGAATTTATTTTTTAAACTCTTGCTAATTATAGAGATACACATATGTACCTAGGTAGATATTTATTCATACATTTATATAATATTCATGATTATATACTGTACACAAGTTTCAGTTCTAGGGACTTTGTATTATTCTGTGAATAAAAGAAAGTCCCTGCCTTCATGGAGTTTAATTGTATTTGGATTGTAATTGTATTTGTATTGTCCAACTCTTTGCAACCCTTTGGATTGTAGCCCATCAGGCTCCTCTTTCCATAGGATTTTCAGGAAAGAATTCTGTAAAGGGTTCTCATTCCCTTCTCCAGGGAATCTCTTCCTGATCCAGAGATCAAACCTACATCTCCTGTGGTTTCCTCACTGAAAGCAGATTCTTTACTCGCTGATCCTTTGGGGAAGCCCAGTGTTTGGATTAAACAAGCAGTCATGAGTTCATATTGACATGAATGAATAAATTAGGGGGAAATTACTTTCTTATAATGTAGTGCCATTCAATAAGCTAAGAATGACAGGAATAGAAACTATTGACAGAATTTGCAATTAATTTAGTGGTGAAGGATTAAGGCTAAATGATCAATGGATGCTAAATGCAAAAGAATGAATTATTAACACCACAAAGTGCTAATCAGTTGCAAAGACAGAAAAATGATGCTATGGTAGAGAAAAAGGGCAGACACCAATTTTAAAAAATGATCAAGTTTGACAGCAATAGTGTGGAAGAAGCTGGGCATTACATGCCCTTTGGTGTGATGTGCTGAGAGATCCACAATTTTTCAGTATGTCCTGAGTGTTAAGATGGGCAAGATTGGGAGATATTAAAAGCCTATACTCTAAAACTGCAAAGGTCATGAAACACAGAAATATGCATAGCACCTGTTGAGACTGAAGAAAATCTCCAAGTATGATAATAAAATGGAGCATGTTATCCCAGATTGGATATAGGACAAGAAGGTAAGAACTAAAAGCCCGAAGATGTCAGAGGAATAGGACGGGGAGACCACTTTCTCCCCTACAAATTCATTGAAAGAACAATTGAATGCTGAGAAAATTTCACAAAACAACTTCTGATCACTAGCAGAGGACATCAGGCACCCAGAAAAGCAGCCCATTGTCTTTGAAGGGAGGTAGGACAAAATATAAAAGATAAAAAGAGAGACAAAAGAGCTAGGGGCAGAGACCCGTCCTGGGAAGGGAGTCTCAATAGAGGAAGTTTCCAATCACCAGGAAACCCTCGCACTGGCGGGTCTGGGGGAAGTTTTCGAATCTCGGAGGGCAACCTAACTGGGAGGAAAAATTAAATAAGGCCCAAAAAGCCTAAAAGCAACTCCTAGCAGAAAAGAACCCCAGATGCCCGCATCCGCCACCAACAAGTGGGGGCAGGACGGAGAGGAGCGGCTGGCATCGCTTAGGGTAAGGACCGGGCCCGAAGGCCCTGAGAGCAATCGGAGGGAGCTCTTTTAAACTGTGGGATAGCAAAGGAGAAAATTAACTGGCCCGAACACACTGCCTGCCATTCTCAAAACAAAGGGACTGAGAAACTCCAGAGAAGAGCTAGCCTGCGGCTGACCTGCCCATCCCCGCTGGAGGTAGGAGGCAGGGGGGAGGCGAAAGGGGCAAACTCAGCCCCAGAGAAGCCACCCCCTCCCACATGGCAAACAGGCCTCCAATGTCTATCTAAAGACTTCCTGAGATTCTGGATGGTCGACATCCACCACTGGGCTCCTGAGAACAAACACAAGCCACAGGCACCCGGCCTGCATGCACTGGGGCCGTGGAGGGAAAAGGCATGACGTACCCGGGGAGAGTGCGCCCAAGCCCCTGGCTGCCAGAGCCGCTCAGGCCGGGGAAGGCACAAAACGCAGACTTTCAGATCTGATTTCCTCGGTGTGTCGGGATGGGGTGGGGAGGGAGATGGGAGGGGGGATCAGGATGGGGAATACATGTAAATACATGGCTGATTCATGTCAATGTATGGCAAAAACCACTACAATATTGTAAAATAATTAGCCTCCAACTCTTAAAAAATAAATGGGAAAAAAAATTTTTTTAAGTAAAAAAAGAATAAAATAAAATTATCAATACATGTGTGCCTTCGAATACTATAGAAAATTGACTTTATGCAATATAGTTTTCCTATAGATTGGCGCCATCATTTTATATGGAAGTAGGCACTGCAAATAATTTTAAGTAAAGATTAAAGAACATAGGACATTTAAAAAAATAATAATAATTTCATGGCTGCAGTTATGGCCTTTGGGAAGGACTCATGATTGCAAACTAGCTGCAGCATCTCCAGCCATCACTACATACAAAGCTATATCCAGAAGGAAAAAATTTTCATCCCTGTCTCCTTTCTATTACCTTCCTTCCCCTTTAGCTAAGCATTTGTTGTAGATGGTGATTATTCTCTTATTGTTTCTTTTTAAAAATAAAAATAAATAACTAGGAAAAAAAACACTATGGGAAAAAGATGATCAATAGAATATAGAAAAATAGGAGATGTAAGTCAAAACACCATTGTTTAAATAAAAAACAGTTTTTCTTCTTTTACTTTCGTCTCTGTTTTATTTTACTGGTATATGTCACATTCTTTAAAACTTAAGTTTACAGACCTTACTTTCATTACAGTGTGTATAGAATAGAAGGAGCCCTGAAGCATAAATATTTTAACTTAGCTAAAGATATTCAAACATAAATAGTACTCATTGGGATTATTTATAGACATTTGGAAACTAGTTTATAAAATGCTGNGGATTATTTATAGACATTTGGAAACTAGTTTATAAAATGCTGAAAATTTATACTAAACTAAGGTAAATTCCAAGTTAAGTCATTTTGCAGTAAATGAAAGATAATATCAGCCAAGAAATAACACATCTAGTTATACACTCATGTTTATTCTTTAGTTCTTTTTGTCAAGGTTTTTGAATTCCATGTACCCATTAATATATATTTATATTTATCCATATATGCATTTAAATGTATATGTATATACCAAATATACTAATAAATGGGGGAAAAAAGAGACAAAAATTTAAAGAATTTGGGGTGTTTGATTATTTTTATTGAGGCTCGACAACTTGAACAATTTGTGTGTACCTACATCATTCTCATAGGTTATAGCATTGTGTAATATTTATAATAAAGAAAAAAGGAAAGAAAATATTAAAGAGATAATATCACAGAAAAAAAAATCTTTCATGCTCTTTCATACTAAGATCTCAGTAATCATGTGAACCTGATCATGCTCTTTTGTATGATTCATTCTCTACTAGTTTAAAATGAAGAAGGTGAGGAAGGATGGAAGAACACTTCAATCTCAGATGTTAAGAAAATCCTTCCTAGGCCTCTGTTCGGAACTTCAGTGTAGACCCCTTCATTTGCTGCTCATAGTGCATGTCAAATTTCTCATTCAGGGCTACGGTAAAGTGATTCTTCCAGTCTCCTACAATTCCTATAACAGAAAAGAAAAGAAAGCAGTAAACACTATGTCTTCCAGTCAGAATAGTGAAATTTTCTAATATCTATCACTTTCATTAACACCTAATCAAATTTTATTTTTGCATCCCTTAATTATAAGTATATACCATAAATACTATATATTTGAGAGTGCAAACAAGGATTTGTCCTGATTGCTTTAAAAAAATAAAACAAACATGCAAAAACCCCAGCACATTTATTTCTCTCTGACCTTCCTTTCTTATGCTACTTATTTTCTTCTCCAATTTCCTTTGAAATATTTGTGATCCATGTTTGACCTCTCCTGTGGTATTAAATATCATCTTCATGTTGATAACATTAAAATCCAGATTTATGTCTTCATACCCAAGTGCCTACCTGATGTGGCCACCTGTATTCCATAGGAACTCTCAAATTCACCCAGTTTAAAGATAAATTCATTTTTTTCCCCACCAGATTGCATTTTTTTGTCATTTTCCATAACCTGGTTAATTGAATGCAGATATCCACTGCATAAACTAGGCTGTTTTCTTTAGGCCAGAATATCTAATTCTTTATTTATATTCAGACTTTCTTCATAGCCATTGCCTCCTCCCTGTTTTACTGTCAGCAACAGTTAGGGAAGCTCCTCAATATTTCCCACCTGTGCTGTTACAAAAGTCTAGCAGTCTCTGCTTTTCATCACATCCAACTCTCCTCTGACAGGAGGAAGTCACTAGTACTTTAAATTAATCAGTAGTTCACTTGTCCTCTTAATCCAAGGAGCTCTAAACCTTCCCAATGAAATAATCCAAAAAGCAGAAGATAGAAAACGTATCTTGAAAATCAGATTCTGTCTGAGTATGCAATAGTATGAAACACTTTACAAGCATGGAAATTATTTTTAGCTTGTTGTTTTATCTTAAAAATATATGAGATATTATAGGGAAAGAAACTGAGATAATCTGAGTATAAGTAACCTAAATTTAATCTGCATGTTATTCCCTTTTCAGGGGTGCTCTGTTTTAACCTGGTTGCAGGTTTGCTAATCCAATTGTTTAAAAAAAATCCCTAACCCTCTCATTGACAAGTTGGTTCCAAGAGAAAGATTATTCTTTTACTTTATTTTATTATTTTATTTTTTTTCTTCCAGGAGGAAGATTATCCAAGTAACATTGGATGTCCCAATACTTTGCATATCCTTTATGCCTATGTACTTATGAACTGACTGTATCTCATCAAGACCTTGCCTCTTCCCATTAGATGTCACCTCATTGTATTTTGATATTTTTACCAAGTTGAGCAGTATTTTCTGCTTAGTGCTTTGAAACTTAGTGCTTTTTTAGCAGCTTTGTAGAAGTATAATCCATACACAGAAAACTGTACATATTCGATGCATACAATTTGATGCTTGGACATTTGACATTTAGTCTTGAAAAACGTCTGGCACTTAGCTAGGGAAGAGCTGACTAACTGTTCTAAGGTTGTTTCCTCATCTCAAAATGAGATAATAGAAGTTTTTTTCCCAACTCTTATATTAGAATTTAAAAATAAATAGAATTTACAATTTGTATGTATGTGTGTATCAGCAAGGCATAAAGACAACAAATAACAGCTAGTAGGGTGTGGTATTAGTGCTACTACTGAGGCTGGGGTGACTGCTGGTGGTTCTTAATATAATTTGTTGTATGCACCAAACAATCAACATGTAATAGTAATTTAATAGCAGTAGTAGTATTTTATGCTTCTGCAAAACTAGTCAATTACTATTAGTAATGTTTCTAATAGTAATTTATTAATAGTAGTATTCATATTTTATACTTCTGCAGAACTGATCACTCAAATATGGAAACAGCTCTGAAGAAAACAAGTGGGGTTCACAGGCATGAATAGACTTTAATAGCTGTTTGCCTGTAACTGTTTAAACTTAGGTCTTCCTGTAGCAATGGAGGCATATAACATGACCATCTCACCTTTTCTCATGAAGGGAGATACTTTATGGTTCATGATTTCATCCGGTAGTGTTTCATAATTGGTAGATGGATTGTTCTTCATCTCCTGGAATGAAGTGTGTTTTATAATCTTGTCCACAATCTCATCTGATGTCTCCTTTCCCAGAAATTTTATCAATTTCATCACCTCTTTTCTGATATCCTAAGAAGAAAAACATATTTTGTTTTTGAGGACAACTACTAAAGACAATTGTAATTGTCTTTAGTAAGACAATTACTCAAATTGAATAATATTACTTTGGGGATAAAAAAGACACAATAAGAAACTCATTCTTCCCTTCTCCTCCCCACACTGATATTGGAAAGCAGGCTTCTAACGAGAAGTTTACCTGTCAAACTTCAGCTTAAGTATCACCTTCTTTGGGATTATTTTCTTGACTATTCCAATTTAAGTTAGATATTTTTGATCCATAATTTCCATATAAATCTATTGTATCATATACGTATCCTCACGTGTTTTTTATTTACTTGTTTCCACAAAAAAGATAGTATCTCTCTATATAAGGGTAATGTCTTTTACTTTTACTTGATGTATTGCAGAAACAAGAGAAAACATTTATTCTTTTCTCCTCATTCATGCAAATAGAGAAGAAACATAAACCTGGCCACTATTGATCAAAATAGGGAGTAAATGGATAAGGACAATTTGGGAGGGTGAAAGAGATGGATTAACTAATAAATTTTGTTTGTGTGCCTTTTAAATTTACTGCCTTCAATATTCTAGTTAGAGAACACAAATTAAAGTAATATAATAGCAAACTACAAATCATGGTTGCTTCTCATTCAAATCTGTTCTGCATTAATTTCTATAAAGTAATAATTCTGCTTCTAAAATAATACCCATAATTCTATTTTAAATATGTCCTCATCAAAACAACTCTAGAATTACTGAGAAATGAATTTCAATAATTGCACAAAGACGTGAACAAGACATGGATATCAATTGCTTTCTTGGTGCTAATAAAGAATGAGAGAAGAGGGCTTCCCTGGTGGCGCAGTGGTACAGAATCCACATATGAATGCAGGAGACACAGGTTCAGTCTCTGATCCAGAAGATCCCACATACCGTGGAACAACTAAACCCATGTGCCACAGCTATCAAGCATGTGCGCTAGAGCCTGGAAACTGCGACTACTGAGCCCACATGCCCCAGAGCCCATCCTCAACAACAAGAGAAGCCACTGCTATGAGAAGCCTGGCCATCTCGATGTAGAGTAGCCCCTGGTCGCCACAACTAGAGAAAAGCCTGAGCAGCAATGAAGACCCCGCACGGCCAAAAAATAAATAAATTTATATATATATATATAAAATAATTTAGAGAAGATGGGTGAACTTTTTTTAATAATGTACATATATACTTTAAAGAATAAATATAAATGCAGCACCCTTACTTACTACCCAATGCATGTAAGAAAACATTCATAATTGGCTAAGTTCTTCCATTTGCAAGTTCCCAACTTCATTTTTTTCACTCTCTATTCCAATTTTCACAAACAACAACAACAAACAAACTTGCTGTCCTGAAATTGATCTACTCAATCCTGTGCCTTTACTCTGTAGATTTGAAACTCATGTATGTATACCGAGACAACATATGGCTTGGTTTTACTCAACTGATAAGCACATTTGAAATGTATTCCTTTTCACTGCAATATAATATTTAATTGTAGAATAATAGTATATACAATGCATTGATTCCTGAGTATATGTGTATTTGGGTTGTTTTTATGGTCGTGCGGAATGCTCTTATGGAGTTTGCTGTGCATATAAACTAATATACACATCAGTGTTTCTCATGAACATATATCTACTAGTGGAATTTGTGAGCCTTAAGTTATACACATTTGCCCTCCCTAGGTGACATGTTGATTTCACAATGTTTGTATATTCTTATACTCTGATCAGAAGTGTCTTATTTCTGACTAAGCCACATCCTAACTAGCATTTATTGTCAGACTACAGTTAGACTGGGCTTCCCTTGTAGCCCAGCTGGTAAAGAATCTATCTGCCTGCAATGTGAGAGACCTGGGTTCGATCCCTGGGTTGTGTTGGGAAGATCCCTCAGAAGTGGGTATGGCAACCCACTCCAATATTCTTGCCTGGAGAATCCCCATGGACAGAGGAGCCTGGCAGGCTACAGTCCCTGGGGTCGCAATGAGTCAGATATGACTCAGTCAGATATGACTCACAGCCCAGTCAGACTACATCTCATTGTTGTCACTCTGCTGGGTGTGAAATATAGCACCTCATAGACATTTTCATTTTGAATTACCATGATTATTAATGAAGTTAGAAAAAAACTAGATTTTTCAGAAATTGTGATGTCATCCTACTTTTGCATATGGCTCTTCTGGCATTCTCTTTACTCTCTTCTGGAAGTTTGACTTGATACATGTAAGATGTTATTACTCTATCCTACAAATCCATTACTCTCTTTCTAAAGTATTCTATTTATCTCACTGAGGTACATCCTGTGGACCTTCCCCAGCATCACGTACCACATTACTAATTCACTATTTAGCCACATCTTATCTGTTACTTAAGCCATCTTTTTGCTTTTCAAATTTTAATTTTTAGAAGTTATTTTAGAAATTCTGATTTGCTGCTCTTTTTCACCTCCAAATCTGCTTTGTCAATTTTAGTAACCTCTTGTTTCTTTGTAAGATTTTAAATTTCTTCTTTTATTTTTTTAAACATGTGAAGTATAGCTATTTTATGGTCCTTTCCTAATAATTCCATTATCTATGGATTTAGAAACCAGTTAACTCTTCTTGCCCATTGTGATTCCTTTTGTGCACCTGCATCAGTGTGTGTGTGTGTGTGTGTGTGTCTGTGCGTGTTGTATGTGGCTGTTGCTTTAAGAACTCAAACTCTTTCCACTTTTATCTTTGGTAGTTTTCTTTGAGACTTGAGTTTAAATGTGTTCATTTTCATTTACAGAAGGCTTTTATTCACTAGCTTCAATCTGTAGTAGAGTATCTGGATTATTGTAACTTTTGGAGTTGGCTGCATTATTTATTTGCAGGCAAAATTTTGTATCCACATTATTGTCAAATGCTAACATTTTGAGAATTATGAAGTTGCCATATATTTTGAGTTTCTCACCTCCTTCATGTCTTCATAGAAAAGAAATAGCACTTGTGGATTTTCTCTCTTTTCCCACCAAGATTTTGTGTGTTTATACCAGGAACCATAAGGAACTAAAATCAGAGACAAAAACAATGTGAGGACATAGCATCAACTCTACACTCAGACTCAGCTTAAAAATGAGTCTTCAGAGGAAAAAATACAAATAAATGATCATGAAATGAAAACTAGAGATCAGTTGCCCATCTGAGGCAAATTTCTCTGCAGGAGGTATGTTGAAAAATCTATGTACAGAAATATAATCTCAACTTTTATTATTATAACATGGTTTATGACTCAGAGGAAAAGTGACAGAAGTCTTTCCATTTGATTTAGAACTTATGAGAGCATTTTTGAAAATTGTGTGTGTGTGTGTGTGTGTGTGTGTGTGTAAAATCAGGTTGTTAATGAAAGGAGTTGAGTAGTAGAACTATCAACATTTTTATGATTAGAATGCAGTCCAGATCTCAAATTTACCATTTAAAAGCTAGCTTTGCTAACTGAATAATTTATAATTATAATAATTGTATAATTTTGTTACACTGTTCCAGTTTAAAGAGTAAAGGGTGCTTTCCTAGGGATCCTTAGTTTCTTTCTCACTTTAAAAAGTTAGAAGATTTTGCAGGTGATGTGATATGACCAAATATGGATTCTTCTTTTCTCTCCCTCAACTTCTCTCACATGTATCTAAGTGTTTCACCCAGTAAAAAGCTGACATGGTAATATAATGATGTGTGAGCCAAAGTATTCTGCTTTGCATTAAATCATTGCATATGTCTTTTGTTCTTTGACCCTACTGACAATTATTTTATTTATTTATAGCTAACCTAAAATAATACCAAAAGTGTAAACATAGTGATTCAATATTTGAATAGATTACACACCAAAAGTTAGTATAAAATAGTGACTATATTCCCTATATTGTCCGTTACTTTCCTGTGATGTATTTATTTTATAGCTAGCAGTTTGGACTCTTAAACCCCTTCATTGTTCTGCCCGTCCCCCAGCCTTCTCCCTTATGGTAACTGCTAATTTCTTCTCTGTATCTGTGGGTAGGGCTGCTTCTGTTTTGTCGCATTTGTTTCTTTGCAGCAAAGTCATATAATGACTTTTATAGTGATCTTATTCATCTATTTTGCAGAGGTACAGCCTTATCTTTATCTGTTTTACAATGCATGTTTTGATGATCTTGAAGCATGTAATTTATTCGTGCTTTAGCATAAAATTTTCCAAAGGTAGCAAAAAACATAAAGCACATGTACCACCCTTTTATTGAGTCAATATTAATTTTTGGGGGGGTATAAATGACAGTATTATCCTTTCCTTACACTTATTATTGAGTAGTCAGAATGGCCTTCTTTAATTAATACTAGATTCTTCTGAACACTTTCTTTCTCAAACCTGAATACTCTGTTGCTTTAGTCTGGAGTTAAATAAAAAGACAAAATTTCCCAGAATTTCTGCTCAAGTAACTCTTGTACTATTCTAAGAAATCTATTTGAATTATTCAGACTGTACAGTGGATAGAATGAGTAAGAATTTTGTAGATATTCAGACTTCTTTGTGATTCTGACCTCACTTAGTATCTGAAATTTTTCTTAAATACAAATGAACAAGTTCTTTCCTCTATCTTTTTTCCTTCTTGTTCAGTGAAGTTATGATAACACACTGTGAAGTACTTCTGTAATAAAAAGACATGAGAGAGAATTGGACACACACATATACATATATATGCCTACTTGTAGGCACTGTAGTCAGTGTCCAGATTCTGAACTTTGCCATTCTCATCTGGAAAAACTATGCTTGTTCTAAGTTCAAGGGCTTCTAGAACTTCTGTGTTTTAATTAAGGACCAGGAAGGATAACAGACCAGAACAGAAAGCAAAAATTATCCTCAAAGATGCCATTTGTCTTGTACCACTTACCTTGAAAGAATTCAGAAAAAGAAAGGAACTTTTCATACCGTCTCCATCCATGAATTTCTCCACAAAATCTTGAAAAGAACCAGGATCTGGATTAGCAGTCACCATTAAAAAGAAAAAATAATAAGAAACAGCCACATCCTTGGCATTCCGGGCAAGATAGATGATCTAAGGAAGATGAAATTAGTTATTAAATCATCTACTATGTTTCAAATATAGTCACATCAAGATTTAAAAAGAAAATATGTTTTTAACTGTAAACATAACATGTTTGCTTCAGAAAATTTATAATATATTAAAATTATAAAAAAGGAAATTCCTTCAATAAACTGAAGTGACAACATCTTTTGTATTGCTGTTCAATGTTGGTTTTCACTTTTGATTTTTATGCCATTTTCACATATTTCATTTGAGAGCCTCAAATTCCACTGATATAAATTGGGTGAGGCAGATTATTATCTCTGAATTATAAGTGAAGAAACTAAATTAAATTTGAGTCTAAATACATGGTTGAGAATTAATCAATGAGAGGAAGCAATTTGGTAAATCATTCAGTCAAAAATAAAGTCCTCTGGCCTTTATATTACACAACCATCCTGCATAACAACTTTAAAAAGGTCCTGCTATTTTCTTACTCACAGTCTTGAAGAAAAGCTAATTTTTATGGGATGCTTAGACCCCTGATACTCCATGCCTTCCTGGTGGTTCAGTGGTAAAGAATCTGCCTGCCAATGCAGGACGGGGGTTGGATCCTTGGGTCAGGAAGATCCCCTGGAGTAAGGAAATGGTAACCCACTCCAGGATACTTGCCTGAGAAACCTCATGGATAGCGGAGCCTGTCAGGCTACAGTCCATGGGGTCGCAGAAGAGTCAGACCTGACCTCGTGACTAAACAACAACTCTCCATTGCAGGAAAAGACCTGCAAAAGTAAACTCTGTCTCTCTATGGTCTTCTCCTTCCTCCTTCAGGCACCTGAGCCATGCCATGGTCTCTGGCAGCTCTTGATTCTCCACTCTTTAGTAGATTTGATAAGGCTCACTAATCTGTCTTACTCAAGTTTCTACATTTTCAAACAATTTTAAAGAAATCTCTTTGAATATTCTAAGAAGTATGGTTTTCATTTTTAAGGCCCCACTATAAAAAGCTCCAAATACTACAGAAAAAGTCAACTTTCTTTCTCAACAAAGCTATCATTGGCCACATGAAACTTTTCCACATTTATTTAAAATTTTCCCTAGCCCTTTTTTCTTATGAGCTGAATAGAACTCTTTGCCACTATATATATTTATCTCCACAAGTTTGCTTCATCATTTTCATTCCTTTTTTTGTTCATACTGTTCCCTCTGTCTTGAATATTCTCTGCATCTCAAAATACAATCTGTATTAAAGTTTGGCTCCAGGTCATCCATGAAGCTTTTTTTCTCCAATGTACTCATTTTTTTATTGAGTTATAGTTGATGTACAATATTATTTAAATTTTAGGTGTACAATACAGTGATTAATAATTTTTAAAGGTTACCTCCATTTATAGTTATTATAAAATATTGATTATATTCCCTGTGTTGTACAATATATCCTTGTAGCTTATTTATTTTATACATAGTAGTTTGTACCTCTTACTGCCCTATTCTTCAAGGTAGGGGAAGGGGGAAGGTAAAAGCAACCCCTCTTTCCTTAAACTTCCATTAGTTTATCTTCTCTCCATTTTGGAAGATTTGATTCTATACGCTAACTTTTCACTGTGCATGCTCTTCCTGCCTTTGAGGAAAATCTAGGTCTTTCCCCTCAGCTCTCTCAAGTCAAAGTTTCTAGTTTGCCCACAATTCACTTGGGATATAATCTATCTTAAAAATCCTACACTTGAAAAAACCCTGTAATAATTCATTCTTCTCCTGACTGAAGCCATTTTTAAACTTATGGTCACTCCCTTGCTTTAACTGAAGATTTGAACATCACACTCATAATATTACTCTCCATTCCTAAGCTTTTCATCATGCTGTGTAGTTTTAGTATCTGTATACATGATCCATCAGATTCTCTAGGTTCTTGGGGTCTTTGATCATTACCTCCATTTTACTTCAGTTAGCAACATTTGTAGCCAAATCTTGAAACTTGTCCAGTATCTTAAAGGTTCTGAAGACCCGTCCTTGAACACCATGATTTCTTCCAAGACAGTTCTGTTTCTTTATCCTTTCTTTCTTAGGATATATCTCTTCTGCAACAACTCCAAAGCGTCAAGTTTACTGACTTCAATTGCTTCTTTTAGCTTGTTCCTGTTTTTCACTCTCTCTTTTTTTTAAACCACTTAAAGTTTCTAGTCCAAAACTCCAAATACACTTTTACCAATAGTTTCAATCCACATATCTTCTTGTCCACCAGTGAATCACCCCAGAAGTACTCAAGTTGTGATTCCATCCAAAGGTCACCTACTCTTTGATGATCCCTGAGATAATAAGCAGGTTTTTTAAGACTGTAGCTATTGTAAAGGTACAGAATCTTTTCATGTACAAGTAAAGGGATAACACCAAGACTTCATTCCATTCTTCAAAGAAAAAAAGTAACTTGGCCAAATATCTTGAAAAAATACTGGTCACGCATTTCCCAGGATACATATATAGTATTTATTAAAGAGAGAACTCTTATGTATGACTTCAGGAGGATGTATGTGATCTTTCTAGGATTGCTTATGATAAAAGCAAACAAACAAAAAACATTGGAATCTTCAAAAGTTTACACCATGTATCTCCAGTAAATGTCATATATACCATGTTATATCATGGTGAAAGTGGAAGTGAAAGTGAAGTCGCTCAGTGGTGTCCGACTCTTTGCGGCCCCATGGACTGTAGCCTACCAGGCTCCTCCCGTCCATGGGATTTTCCAGGCAAGAGTACTGGAGTGGGTTGCCGTTTCCATATCATGGTACAAATGGAAATACTTCATGACTCTGATAGATCCCTTTTTTGTCAATAATGACTACATATAGTACTTTAATATCTCATATGTTTAGTATGGATCATAGAGTGTCCTAATAAAGCTAGTAAGGTCTTGAGAAACATCAGTGGTCTAAGACAATATTTGGCCTATACTTTAGGATTCCATGTTATTCTTTCTAAAAAGCAAAACTGATCTTACCAATCAGCAGCTTAATATGGCTGTAACTCCTCATTATCATCAAAGTAGAGCCCAAACTTCATAAGTTGGCTTCCATATCTGTTACAAACAAACCCAGCTTATCTCCCATCACTCATCCAACCAGTACAGGCACTCAGCCTTCCAGCTAAATTGAACTGGTTTCACATCCCACCTTGGGTTGCCTCAGAGATTATAGAGACTAATTCTTATGCATCCGTCACATATCAGATGAGATGTTACTTGCTTTAAGTCTCCTTCTCTGCCCTCAACGTCTAGGTCAGAATTCTTCCTTTACTTGATTTATGTCACCTTCTATAGTGTCTGTTATTTATCCCTTCCCTCTGTGAACCACGTGTCCATGAAGACAAAGATTACATGTGTCTTTGTTATATTGCTGGCTCATGATAGGCACTCAGTAAATAATTATTCTATTATTTTTGTCTGCTTTTTCCTTGCCTAGCTCATTTGCATGCCTCATAAGGCCAAGCACAACAGTTTGCAAAAACAGTATATTGACTAAAACTATTAATAATAACAAATAAAAGTAGCCATTGTAAATTGTTTATAACATGTTAGGTACTATGTTAAGCACTTCACAGGTATTAGTTTAGCTAATCCTTACAACAACTCTATGTGAAATGCAATTATTATCCCTCTTTTACAGATGAGGAAACTTCAGCTTTCTGAGAACTTAGAGAGTTTATTTGTTTTTCTGAGAATCAGCTCTGGAGTTAGAACTGAAGTCTAGACCTTCTCACTATGTTATGATCCACATTTTTTTAATGTCTATAGATTCAGTGAAGAAATAAATAAACAAATGTATATAATACACAGGATATTACTTAACTTTATCATTGTAACATTCTTTGACTTGGGTGAAGTTCTAAAACACTTGGCTCTGTTACCTTACAGTTCTTTTCCCAAAATGAGAGTGGAAGAAGCTCAGGAGGCAGGTGAGACTTCACTATTCTAGGAGATGCCATCCCTTTTAATTGTTTTACTCCTAAGTTAAAAAAAAAAAGTTGGACAACTTCCAAAATTATAAATATTTGTATGGATTTTTATAGATTTTAAAAATAGAAACATCTATACATTCTATATTATGTTCATAATAATGATATGTATTCACTATGACAGAAGTTTAAATAGATAAAATCATACAGAAAAAAATAGATTAAATAAATTTTCACCACTTTGAAAAAAAAATCATTATTAACATTTTGGTAAGCATCCTTCCATACAAGTATATACCCAAGTATATATCTATATGCCCAGACTCATAGCCAGATAAATACCAGACAGACAGATGAATTTTTTTAATATTTTGTAGTTGCATTTTTCTTACTATTTTAATGTCAACAAACATGTGATATTATGTTTAATGACTTCATGTCATTTTTACCTTTTGTTGATTAACATTTATATTGTCTCTAATTTTTTACAATAATAAAGGAATCTGTGACGAACATCTTTTTGCATATCCTTGAAAATTTATGGATATGTCTGTAGTGTTTAAAGTATCACTGCATGTATCAAAAGGAGAGATATAATTCTCATATATTACTAGACTCTGATGAAAGCACATCAGAGCTATCCTCATTCACTCTATTCCAAGAATATGTTATATTATAAACTCTGTCAAGATTTAAATTTATATCCCTTCCTGTGTAGAAGATACAATACTAATTGTCATTTAATACTATTGCCAAAAAATACCATTTTGCATACAGTCTTTCTTGTACCATTTACACCCACACATTAAAATATATGTGTATAGCTTTTAAACTTAGCTTATGTATTACCATTCATCATCTGGTCATTTCTACATTCCAGGTAAGGAACTCGATTAAAAATGACATCTTTTTTGCACTTTTCCACATCACCATCAGCATAAAGCATGCAGACAATTTCACTAATCCACGTTGTACCTGAAAAAATTAAACACACCTGAGTCTCCCACTGACAGTGCACATTGATAATGCAGGGATCAATGGATTGATAGTTGGATAAAGTAAGAAGCTACCAGTGAAATAGTATTTGAAAGCTGTCAAAATCACCACAGGACACAAAAACTATTTCCCCTAATATTTACTCTTATAGGATCCAAACATAGCATCAAAAGTAAGGATGAACATAGTTGTAATAAAATACACCTGTGATAGAAACTGACCTTGTCAAAGATGAATTGTGATATTGTACAAGCTGATAACATATTTGGATCTAAATATTCACATCTAAAAAGTAAGCATGCTTTTAACCACAGGGTTTCTTGATGGCTTTTATGCCTCAGGTTGAGTCCTAGTACAGAGAATATAGAAAAGAATAAATCTGGTCCTTGTCCTGTGATATTCAAGGGCATCAGAAGAGTCAGAAACAATGCTCAATAATTGCACTTCATTTTTCCTAGGATGCTGTAATACAGATGGGCACAGGGATTTAAAGAACTCCAAAGGAGGACTTTGTGTGCTTCTGCTGTTGCTGTGATGTTTCCACAAGAAATAAATGACTTTAAGAGAACATGGTAATTGAGCTTAGCCTTAACAAATTATTGGCATAAATTCACTAGTTGTGTAAAATAGGAGAGAGGTCTATCAGACAGAAGAACTGTCTCTCCTTTTTTTAAAATCAAAAGCCAGACATTTACAAATAGTAAAGTGGTAAGGAAATGAATTGGATGTAAATTGCTTCTGTCGTGTCTCTTCTGCAACCCCATGGACTGTAGCCTGCTAGGTTCCTCTGTCCAAGGGATTCTCCAGGCAAGAATACTGGAGTGTGTTGCCATTTCCATCTCCATGGATGTAGATTATAAAACCTAAATCAGAGGCTACTTGAAGGGATGAATGGAGATGAGGGTGCAGTGTCAAGCAGACACCAAGCCCAACAAAGCCTTGTAATTCATACTAGAGTTCAAGTCATTTCTAAAAGATTTTAAAGGTCAGTGGCATACATCAAGCAAGAAAGCAAGGTTATAAGGGTCATGTTTTGGAAGAATTCCTCTAGTGGCAGAGTAAATAAAATAATGGAGTGAGAGGTCATAAGAAGGTGACAAGAAAATTAGAAATTGACTGTGAGGCATATCTATGAGACTAAAAAGGCAAAACAGATTGATTGATTGAATACAGAAGATGAAGAAGTTAACAGAAACTGATTCTGAAATAGCTCTCATATGTCCTCAACAGGTGACTGGTTTTGTGCTGACATTGATCCAGACAGTAAAGAGAACTGAACATGTTAGAGTCAGAATAGCCAAAGATATATTTAATGTTTGACATATTTAAGTACTAATTGGAACAACCAGATACAGAAGTCTGGATTGGACCTTTCTAATTTCTAAAGTTCTAAGATTATAAGACTATGACTAACAAGCTAATTTCAGGAAAAGAGATGTTACCTGAAAATAGAGCTTCAGAGATGGACTTTAGAAAGAGGAACTGATTAGCTAAAAAGTGCTAATTTTTTTTTAAAATCCATGAAAATTACTTATACTTTGTCTATACAGCAATGACAACAATGACATAACAACAGAAGGGCAATTTTAAATTTTACTGATGGTTCTATAGTCATCCATCTATATTATGTGACTTTCTTATATGGCCAACAATACTTGTTTATCAGTGTCCTCCTCAAATTATATGTACAGATTGTGGTTGTAGAATAGAGCTATAATATGTCACTACTTTCTATGTATATACCGGAACTTTTATAATCTGTCCCTATTTAATACAGAGAATGGATGTGGGAGAAATGAATGGCTCAATATTTAACAGAAAATGTGGATTTGTCCTTTCTAGGTGAAAAGGGAACAACTTTGACATAACAAAGAGACTTACCAGATTTGGGATAGGTGACAATGACAAGGTCATCTGGTCTTGCCTCAAATTTCTCCACCTCACGCCAATTCTGGATAAATTTTTTATACAGTGGTATTTCACCAATTCTGCCAAAGTAATCTGCATAGGCGGGTTTGGAAGAACTCATGGTGGAGTGGTACACTGAAAGAAAAAAAGGTATGTTTTCCACTTCACGTGCACTTTGTTTTATATTAATAGTAGTCCATACATCAAATTTCTCTTGGGTGTCTAGCATTTCTTATATGTTGAGCATATAGGGTAAAGCATATTATTAAAGTAATGTATAACATAGCCTTGGTGCTTTAAGAGTTTCTAATCCTGTTACTAAGTCTAACATATAAAAAACCAAGTAGTACAAAGCACAAAAAAGTTACGTGTTTTAAAACTATGTACAAAATGCATGATACGTTCAACAGAGCCTTGATTTCTCTGTCAAAACTGATAAAACATATAAAAAGACTGAGATTGAGAAAATGCAACAATATTTTGGCAAAGAATCACTTTAATTCTGTATATATTAAATAACAATAATTTTTGATGGCCACATTTGATAACTATTGCCACATGTCAAAGTTAAAGCTTTCCTTGTTCCTGAATATGTTTCATTCAATGAAAAAAAAAATCAAATGCTTGGTGAGTGTATTAAAAAGATGAAAATAATGACGCTGTAATGGATATGTCTAAGACACGGATTCTTGAAGGTACTGAAGATTTTTGTATGACCTCCTAGCATTACTGATACTTTTCTCTCTCACTTAATCAGTAAAGTTGACACTCCTATTGAGTGACTTGTGTGAAAATTATAAGGTTAAACACGGTTATCATTGACAGTGCCTGATCCCATGATACCTCATTTCATGTTCAGAGTAAGCCTTAGACTTTTTAATTAGACAAACTTTCCTTTATTGGCTTTCAACTTCTCTCATTACTTTTTTCCTCCATAAAATTCCTCCATTCTGAGTTTGTGATATAGCATCTCAACAAATGTCATCTTTCTTTGATATTACCCTCACAGGATCTCCTTTTATTTTCTTTTAAGACTTGAGGTATTACTGAGTAAAATGAGGCTCACCATACCAGAGAACTGGGCAATATTCAGTTACAAGATTGTCTCAGGATTGTTGTTACTGTTTAGTAGCTAAACCATGCCCAACTCTTTGCAACTCCATGGGCTGTAGCCCTCCAGGCCCCTCTGTCCATGAGATTTCCCAGGAAAGAATACTGGAGTGGGTTGCCATTTCCTTCTCTAGGGGATCTTAGGGATCTTCCCAGTCTTCCTGACCCAGGGATCAAACCCACATCTCTTGCACTGGCAGGCAGATTCTTTCCCACTGAGCCACCAGGAAAGCCCATAGTTTCTGCAGTACAACAAAGTGGATCAGCTATATTTTACACATACATTCCTTCCCTCTTGAACCTCCCTCCTATCCCTCATCTCACCCCTCTAGGTCATCACAGAGCACTGAGCCAAGCTCCCTGTGCTATAAAGCAGCTTCCCACTAGTGAACAATTTTACACATGGTAGGGTCTCCCTTTTACCCACCCCTGTAAAAAAAAAAAAAAAAAACAAAAAAAAAAAAAAAACCAACCCTGTAGGATAAGTTGTTATATGCTCATACACATGATCGAACCCAGGTCTTCTGTGTCTCCTGCACTGAAGGACGATTCTTTACCTGCTGAGTCATCAGAGATGCCTGTAGCCTGCCAAACTCCTCTCTCTATGGGATTTCCCAGGCAAGAATACTAAAGTAGTAACCATTCCCTTCTCCAGGGGAATCTTCCAGGGATCAAACCCAGGTCTCCTGCATTGCAGGCAGATTCTTTACCATCTGAGCCACCAGGGAAACCTCTAAAAATTTGTACCAAATTTGTACCAAACCTCTAAAAATTACCAAAGATATTTTATAACTTTTCATGCTTCCGTGTTTCATAAGTTTATTGGTTATTTTAACCATTTTGGTCAATTTTGTCCATCAGGAGTGTTTTTTTTTTTTCCTAAATGATATATTGTAAGTAATTTATCATCGATTTATAAATTGAAGATATCTGAAGTGTTCCCATCTTATATTGCTAGTTGTTTTTAACTTTTTTAATGGTTTATATAGAAATTTATTGCTCATTTAATCACTAGGGAGAAAAATGTGTACAAAAGGCATTCCTTGTCCTGCCTATTGATTTGTTTATTCATATGAACAACTTTCTTGGTGTTCTGCCAAGTTTGTAAGAATTGGCTTATAGCCAAGTGGGAGTAGCTGATTTATTATCAAAAACAGTTGGCTGACCTCTGACTGACCTCATGGTCAGTTTTAATCTGAGTTAAACTGCTGCTGCTGCTGCTGATAAGTCTCTTCAGTCGTGTCCGACTCTGTGTGATCCTGTTGACAGCAGCCCACCAGGCTCCCCCGTCCCTGGGATTCTCCAGGCAAGAACACTGGAGTGGGTCAGGGTTAAACTAGGTGGCATGTAATAAAATCCCTTGCTTTGTTTAGCTTCTTTTAGTAAGTATTCACCTCCAGCTGCTTTCTTCTTTCTGAAAAGACATAGTTCAGTTTGAAATTGTCAACTTCATTCCCTAACTGAGTGTATAGGGTGCTATTGTCTAGAAACACTGACCGAAAATTATTAGAACTGTGATTCATAAATTCAGTTGAAGGAAGAAATATATTTCTTCTTTTCTTTGTATGTATTTCTTCTTTCCTTCCTCTTTCTTTCTCTCTTTCTCCATCTTCCCCTCCTCCACTGCCCAGTCTGCCTTTCATTTGGTGAGAATACTGTGTGTGAGTCCCTCTGCTCTTACCAGACAGTGATAAGTGCTGAATAGCAGGATGAGGATAGATGCAAAGGCTTGCTTCAGCCTCACCTTCTACAGCTTAATTTGGATTTGAACAAAGTGGCTGAAAGGAGAGAATATCCTTTTGGACAATATTCTATCCAGAACCACAGCACTGTGTCACAAGATAGATGTTAAAAAATCCTCATTGAATTCAATTGTTTTATTGTTAGATCAAATCTCCTCGGGCTTTCTGTATCCACTAACGATTCCTAGATGAAACAGACGCTGTCAACTACTTACCGTGGACTTGGATTTCTGCTCGTAAAAGTCAAATGTCTCTCACTTAAAAGTAACAGTAATATTTGCAAGTTCCCTGTTAGTAATAGATTGCTTCTGACATATTTCACAGAAGTAAACATATAACTAGAATTCAGTCTCCACTTTAACTTTTCTACTCTGCTTGCTTTGTTCTCACTTCAGTAAAATAGAGAACATGTTTAACATGCAGGATTTACAAGGCAACTATGATACTATAGTTTTATGTTAAAACTCTAATTTAAATAGCAAAACATTACATAAATATATTATTTTTAATGATAAGTGATTTTTTTATCACAAAGTAATTATTAAAGCTTTACATGCTTTACATTAAGTAAGTAAAATGTTGATAAAGACTTTATTCTCTGTATTTCTTTTTTAATATAGTTTTGTAATAAGTAATTCTGTATTTTCTATATCTAAAATCTAAATATTATTATCAGCAATAATAATAGAGATAAAACCTGTCCAGATGATCCTGTGAAAGAAACTGGGTGATCCAATTCAGTTTTATTCAAATCCCCACTCAGGATTCAAGCTGCAAAAAAAGATGAGAACTACTGTGCATTTGGAATGTTTCTGGTGAGTTTTTATTCTGAATGCCAGAGAAGGAGGTGGAGATTAACTTGTGAGTCTAGGCTTTCTGGACTTTGTGATGCAATGGGGTAAAACAAACATGGAATCGCACCTGCAGTTTCAGTGAGCCACACAGTCATGTTTGTTCACGTGGATATTAGAGATTCTCCATTTTTCATTCTTGGCTCACAGACAAATTTCTAAATTTGCCAGTAGCCATCATTGGGTTAAGGAGAAGGAGGACAAGGAAGTGAAGGTAAAGATGAGGGAGAAAGATGTAAGCACGATGTAGCAAAATATAAGAGAATTTGTAAAAGAGTGTCACTTACTCAATCAAAACATGAGGTTGACTTTTGAAAGACTAAACTCCTTAGTGGAGTAAGAAGAGAGAAGAAAATGACCCGACATAGGAGTACTAGATTAGCTTAGGGGGACTTTTCAAAGAGGAATTTATAGTACTTGCTTTTGTCTTAACAGGTCACTTGGAAAACACCCTTTGTTTAAAAATCTCTGCCTTTAACTCTTGAGCAACCCTGAAAATCAAAAACAGATGACAGCTAAAGGAATAATGTAATAGAACTCACTTTTGGATTACTGTTTTTAAAATCTCACTTCTCTCTGCTCCCAGTCACATGCTCAATGATATTGTGTGGAATTTCCAGGTAAAATTAATCATTGACAGCATTGAAATTTAGATAAGAGAATGAGAAAAGTGGACTTGGAGGTCATTATGTTAAATAAAATAAGTCAGATAGAAAGGCAAATCCTGTATAATAGCACTTGTATGTGGAATCTGTAAAATACAACAAACTAGTGAATATAACAACAACAAAAAAACAGTCACACAGATGTTGAGAACAAACCAGCTGTTACCAGTGGGAAGAGGGAAAGAGGGAAAGGAAAGATAGGCTTAGAGGATTAAGTAGTACAAACTATCAGCTATAAAATAAGCTTCAAGGATATACTGCACAACACCAGGAATATTGCTAATATTTTATATCATATATAGTGTATATGTATAGTATAGTATAGTGTAGTCAATATATATATATATTGACTACGCCAAAGTCTTTGTGGATCACAACAAACTGTGGGAAGTTCTTCAAGAGATGGTAATCCCAGACCTCCTTACCTGCTTCCTCAGAATCTGTATGCAGGTCAAGAAGCAACAATTAGAATGGGACAAGGAACAATGGATTGGTTCCAAATTGGAAAAGGAGTAAGTCGAGGCTGTATATTATCACCCTGCTTATTTGTTTTATATGCAGAGTACATCATGTGAAATGCTGGGCTGGATGAAGCCCAAGCGGGAATCAAGACTGTGAGGAGAAATATCAATAACCTCAGATATGCAGATGATGCCACCCTTATGGGAGAAAGCAAAGAGGAACTGAAGAGCCTCTTGATGAAGATAAAAGAGGAGAGTGAAAATGTTGGCTTAAAACTCAACATTGAGAAAACTAAGATCACGGCACCTGGACCCACAACTTCATGGCAAATGAATGGGGAAACAATGGAAAGAGTGAGAGGCTTTATTTTTCTGGGCTCCAAAATCACTGCAGATGGTGACTGCAGCCATGAAATTAAAAGACTCTTGCTCCTTGGAAGAAAAGCTATGACCAACATAGACAGCATATTCAAAAGCAGAGACAGTACTTTGCTGACACAAATCCATCTAGTCAAAGCTATGGTTTTTCCAGTAGTCATGTTTGGATGTGAGAGTTGGTCTATAAAGAAATTTGAGCACCAAAGAATTGATGCTTTTGAACTGCAGTAAGAATTGATGTGGAAATACGTTTGCACCTCATTTGTGCAAATATGTAGGAGTGTGAATGCTAGATCCAATGGTTAAGACTATATTTAGCTTTGTAAGAAGCTGTCACTGTTGCTGTACCATTTTGCACTCCCACCTGCAATGAATTAGAGTCCCTTTTGCTCCACATCTTCACCAGTATTTAGAATTATAAGAATGTTGTATATTATCTGATTAAAATATAGTTTGTGTTTAATGTTTGCTGTTGTATCATAGACTTTAGTTTCCTCTAGGGTCCTTGCTTTGATCACAGTTATCTTTTACCTCCCCTTTATGAGACAGGAATGCCAAAAGGGCTATAGTTGAGTATTTGCCTTCCCCTATATCAGATAAATTGCTGGTAAGACAGAAGACCTTAGCCAGAAGACCCTTTTATGGAGAACACTCTAGGTTTATTTTTAAACGGTTATTTTTCCCCTCCCTCTGCCTGAACTCAGGCGGTTTTCCTCCATTGGTTCTTCACCATGATAATCTAATTGAGATTTGGAAGTAAAATTCACAGAAGCCTGGAGATTTTCTCTAACTGAGCCCTCCAGGGTTTTTAACTCTTAAATTAAAGCAAACTGTTGTTGCTGTTCAATAGCTAAGTTATGTCCAACTCTTTGTGACCCAATGAACTGCAGCACACCAGCCTTCCCTGCTCTTTACTATTTCCCGGAGTTTGCTCAAATTCATGCCCATTGAATTGGTGATGCTATCTAACCACCTTATCAGCCTCTGCCACCCTCTTCTCCTCTTGCCCTCAATCATTCCTAGTATCAGGGTCTTTTCCAATAAGTCAGCTCTTACATGCCCAGCCTCCTCCAGCATTTCATCAGTTCCTATCAGTTACTGGCTCCAAAGACTTCCCCTTTCATCGGATCTCATTCTATGGGCTCTGTCTTTCTAGGTTTGGGAACTGCAATTTTCCCTATGACCTCATTTCTTTGATAGATCTAAGAAGTCTTATTGATTTCCAGTTGTTTTTTTTTTTTTTTCCTTTGTTGTGAGGATGTGATTCGTTATTTGTGTGCATGCTAAGTCGCTTCAGTCATATCCTACTCATCGCGATCTTATGGACTATAGCCCGACAGGTTCCTTTGTCCATGGGATTCTCCAGGCAAGAATACTGGAGTGGGTTGCCATGACCTCCTCCAGGGGATCTTCCCAACCCATGACTTGAACTTCATCTACCGCTCCTGCGTTGCAGGCGAATTCTTTACCACTGAGTCACGGGGGGAAGCATGGTTGACTATTTACATGCTCTTTATATATCTCACCTGAATCTAGGGGTCTGACAGTTCTTTAACACATCCATGTGGCTTCACTTTTTGATACTCTATGAGCCTGAAAAAGTAAAGTGACTGCAGTCTTCTCCCACTCCTGAGAAGTCCTGAGGAGTCTTATCAGGAAAGAAAGACATAATCATTAACTTTTTAGTAGCGCTCATTTGAGCACATAAGTTCTTTGAAATGCTTGATAATTTGAATGCCAGAGACTTACAAAACTCAACATCTTTGTTTGTCTTAATGAAAGAAAGTTTTTTTGGAATTCAGGTTTTTTCAATGTCAAATTTAGTACTTTACTTTTCATTTCTATCAGATACATACTTTCTACCCAATTGATAGAGTTAGCTTTAAAGTACAATGGTTGTTGGCCTATAAATTGTACTGTTAATTTCAACTTAGCCTTATCAATAATTTTAACAAAGTTGCACATTTGAAAGTAATAAAATAGTATAAAATAGACTATAATCCATAGCATTTTGCCACATGGGTCATGACATAGTGTAATATTGTTATACTTTAAAAATGGCACTGATAATTTTGTGAATACTTTTAAAGTCGTTCATATTATGATCTGGTTTCTCACGGCTTTCTTTATTTTGGGAGGTGGTTACCCTTGAGTTTAAGGAAGCATCGGCTTCCAGAGAGATTGTGAAATCTTTTGTCCCTCTTGTTTTGATTCCTTTTCTCCTTGATAGTTTAATTATTAGAGATGATATCAATTCACAAGTTTAAGTTTCTCCAGTTTACCACTTCCTGAACATTCTATTCCCAATTTTTGGCAAGTGAAAAATTATTTTGTAAACGTATTAATACTATACTTTTATAGTAAGTGAGTCTTGTTACTGGTCCAATGTTGGTCTGTATCTAGTAATTGGGCTCTTTCTTTACTCATGGGTCTACAGCAGCAACAATGCAATAATAAAAGAACTTAGTGAAATATACAGAATACCTTCTATGTGCCACCCTGTTTGTGTCCAGTTATGTGATCTTCACATATATCCTATACAAGTGCATCTTACAACCCTGTCCTAAAATATGCAGGTGTAAGTACAACTGTGATTTGGAGACCAACTGTGTCAAGAAGCTTCATGGTAAAGAGTGAAGTCAGTCTTCATATTTAAAATGATGCAGATTTGAATTAAATTTCATGATAAGAAAGAAAATATACATAATCACAGAACAGACAGGCAAAAAGTGCTAGGACAATGAAATTCAGGGAACATGGAGTAGTAGGTAATAGAGAGGTGGGTGTTAGGAGTCAGAAATTGGAGCACATGGAAGTTTATGAGTCAGATATCTGGCAGTCACACAAAATCAGAAAGACTGAACAGATGATAGAGACGTTGCTACAAACCTAGAGCTCAGAAGCAGGACTAATTCTCAGACAGACTGAAAAAAAAGTCTGATTTCTATAAAGGAGAAATTTAACATATCCAGATAAAGATTCAAGTGTGGGGGGGGGGAGTGAGAAACCTGGGATGTAATGCAGGTTTTGTCATAGGACAGTCCCTGATCTGATTTGTAAAACTACTAAAATTATCTAATGTTTCATGAGGGTTTATTATGTCTCAGGAACTACACTGAGTACTTTTCATAGATTATCTCTTTTCATCCTCATTTCAACCCTTTGAATTAGTATTTTATAATCATTTTAAGACAAAAGAATCGAAGCTCAGTTATGGTGCTGTTATTAGTCACTCAGTCGTATCCAAGTCTCTGTGACTGCATGGACTGTGGCCCACCAGGCTTCTCATCCATGGGATTTCCCAGGCAAGAATACTGGAGTGGGTTGCCATTTCCTCCTCCAAGGGATCTTCCTGACCCAGGGATCAAACATGCATCTTCTGAACTGCAGAAGGATTCTTTTACCACTGAGCCAGTGGGAAAGCCCTCAGTCAGGTTAGGTAAGTGGCAAAAATTTATAGCCACTAAAGGATTATAGCAGCTAGGTCTCTTCACTTCCTTGCACCATTTCCAGCTTCTTCTCAGTTCCTCCTCTTTCCTACCAGGATTGGCCTCAGGGCATGAGGAGACGCCACAGCTGTGGAAACCAGGAAGATTTTTGGAAAGTGAGAAGAGACTCTTTTAGATAGTGCCCAATTGCTTAATCAAGCCCAGTAATTCTCTAATCTCTAATCAGTATACTGAATTCTTGCTAGCTCCCAATAGTTCTGTTCTTTGATGAGATCACCTACTTACAGCAAATCTGAAAGGGGCAGGACATCAACACAATCATTCTAAGCTCCCTAAGGCCTTCTGCCTCTGTGCATAGAGTGTATATGTTTGCTCAGTCATTCAGTCATGTCTGACTCTTTGCGACCCTTGGACTGCAGCCCAGCAGACTCCTCTGTCCATGGGATTTCCCAAGCAAGAATACTGGAGTGCATGGCCATTTCCTTCTTTGGGTGATCTTCCCAATCCAGGTATCCAACTTGTGTCTCCTGCATCTCCTGTGTCTCTTGCAATGCAGTCTGATTCTTCATCACTGAAACATTGGGGACACCCTGGGCATAGAGACTCAAGTGTAATTTGCATGTTCCTATTGCTCGTAGGAAATCTCATAGTCAACTACACCAGGGGACTGGTGAACTGGAGCAATACCTGGATATTGCTGAAGCCATGGAAATAGTTTTCATCTATGCTGGCCCACTGCAACTGTAGGTTTCTTCTCTGATCTCTAGAATCAGTTCACTTTCCACTTTTTTGGCCATCTCCTAAGAAAGAATTCCACCTGAATCTTGATCCATTCCTCTACTCTCTCAATTTCTGAGGTAACTTTTATAGTCTATATTCTTGAAAGGTTACAGACAGGGAGAAAGGATGAAAATGGTGGCAGATTTATAATTTGTTTATAAGAATGTGTTCCTTATCTGTTTGTTATGTGTCCCCTCAAAATATATGTTAAAGTCTTGACCCTGGTACCTCAGAACATGACCTGCTTTGGAAATAGAGCCACTATGGATATAACTCGTTAAGATCTTACTGTAGTAGGCAGGACCCTTAATTCAATATAATGATGTCCTTGTGTATTTGCTAATCACTTAGACATCACTAAGTCATGTCTGACTCTTTGTGACCCCATAGACTGTAACCTGCCAGGTTCCTCTGTCCATGGAATTCTCCAGGCAAGAATACTGTAGTGGGTTGTCATTCTCTTCTCCAGGGTATCTTTCAGACCCAGGGATCAAATCCAGGTCTCCACATTGCAGGCAGATTCTTTACTATCTG